TTATGTGCCCTCCGAGCGCCTTCCTACCTAGTCTGAAGAACACCCCACAGGGCAAGAAGAACCGTCGGCCTGGGGCCAAGGGTTCTGGCCTGGGAGGCCAACATGCTTCCAGTCTGAAGGAGTCAGTGAAGGCCCGCAATAAGAAGCTGACCCTGGACATGCAGAGTGCCTTACTGGAAAGCTCAGTTACTCTGTCCCCAGTCGACTCACTGGACTCACCCCACGGTGGAGCCAGCAATGCTGGCTACATCACCAACCCCACTTCCCCCGTGGCCATGCAGTCACCAGGGCTTTTCCACTCCTCCATGTCTGTCCCAAACACCCCAATGGTACACAGTAGCATGTTGGAGGGAGGTGGCCCATTTGCTGTGTCTCTAGCCCAACTCAATGACCTGGGAGCTGGAGGAATGTCCTTGCAGGGACGTGTCTCTATGGCTTCAGATGTCAATCATGGCTATGTGCTGAGTTCAGGTCAGATGGGGCTCAACATGGGCATGGTCAGTCCTGTCAGTGTGCCCTTTGACTGGCACAGCCGGATGCCCCCCTCCTCCCAGTGTGGTCAGCAGGTAGTGAGTATTGTGCAGAGCAGCCAGCCAGGCATGCATCCCCAGAGCCCAGCAATGCAACAGCAGAACATGCTGATGCACCAACAGCAGATCTACCGTAATGCCATGCTGCAACCCACGCCTGTTACTTCCACACCCACTATTAGCCCAGTGAAGTTGCCTTCCATTGCTGAGCAGCAGCAGCAACAACAGCAGCAACAGCTCATTAATCACAGCATTGCCAACCAGCAGAGCATTGCCCGCATGGGCACCTCCACCCCGCCGACACCCCAGACCTCGCAGCCCCCGCCATCCTTCTTCCAGCAGCAGCAGATGTCTCAACAACCCTCTCAGCCCCTGCCTCCTGCTCAGCCCCCACAGGCATCCACACCAACAGCCCAGCCTGCTCAGGCTCTGCCCTCCCAGCCCAGTGGCAGCACTGCAGGAAAAGAGGATTATCCAACCCCTCCCTCCCAGCACAGCTATTCATCCGCACTAGATGCCACGCCCAAGCATTACCTCCATTTGCCTAGTGAGCACCCCTACCTGACCCCCTCTCCAGAGTCTCCTGAGCACTGGTCCAGTCCCTCTCCTCACTGCGTCTCTGATTGGTCAGATTCCACACCCAGCCCAGCAGTTGCTGTCCCTGCCCAGACCCAAATTACTCAAATTCCAGAGGCCAATGGCAAGATGCAGGTGTTTGCGTGAAGATCCTGTGGCCTTTGCTTGAAAAGGGACCTGGGGTACAAGAATTTGTGGACTGGCTCTTAGGCCCGTCTATGTTTTATGTGTCAGCCTGTTTCCAAGATTTTCATTGGATTTGGATTGACTATGTTTATCACGAGGACCGTCTGCTAGTGATTTTGCAGAGAAAAAAAAGTAAAGGGAAATGTGTGTTGTCTGAAAAAACAGCAGACAATTTAATGAAGTAATTCTGTCACAGATGGACTTGTTTTTTATTATAAAAAAAAAAAAAGTATATGAAGAAAACCAAGTCTTTCATTTCAAAGACTTAGGGACACTCTCCTGAAAACTAACAAACATTTTAAAAGTAGATAAGAGAAAAAGTGAAAAGTTGAAGGGAATTTTATTTATTGTTTTTATCTATCTGAACTGCTTTGTAGGTGTTTCTCTTTCTGTCCTAGCGTCTCACATAAAGTGCCATCCCAAGGTAATTCACTGGTTCTAGCAAATACATTTCAAGAGTTGCTCTGCAGTAGTGATATGTTTGATTGAATTGTGGTAAATAATTACTTTCCACATGAGTATTATGAACAAGAATGTAGATGAGTGTCTCTGAAGCACTTCAAGTGACCAGGCTTATAGGGTAAGTGTGGGTCGAAAACAACATTTGACTGCAACTGATATTTATAATATATGGGTGGCATGTAATCCATGGCATTTTCCTTATAACCTTCCAAAATAAATCAGCAGAGTAAAGTTTTAGGTTTAATGCTTCTATTTGTAGCTTGTCACTGACACTAAAGGTTTCTGACTGCCAGTGTTACTGCCACCCCCGATACCTTAAGTTTTAAAGCATGTTTTCATTCACTTTAAGAAAATGTTTCAAACAAAACTGTTTTCCTATAAAATCAGCCTCTCACTGCCCTTATGTTTTATTTTTTTTGTTTGTTTGTTTTATACTCTGTATATTTGTGGAAACCATGAATACCTTTTTTTTTTTTAAACATCACTTCAGATGTACTAAGCTATGCTTATATCAGCTGCTATTTTATATCACTCTTCCCTGCAAACATTCCTCCATTTTGTCTGTCTTGTTGAGTTTGGACGCTGTGCCATTCAGGAACACAGAACAGAACCAGACGACAGAATTTGTCTCTCATGTCCTTGACCAGATTAAATGGACTACTTGTAGCTGAGATCTTGGTGGCCCTCTAACCTTGTTTCTGCCAGCGTCTACGGTGGAGCTGTGGTCAGTGTGAGGGGGTGGCTGCTGGGCTGTGACTGCTTATGCCCTGTCACTCCTCAGGGAGGTGTTTTATGGTATGCAGTGGGACAGTTCCCCTGCATCTACAGTAGCTTCCAGTCCAGGGGCCATGGAGTTGCATCTAAAGATGATTGCTAAAAGAGGCTGAAGGAAAAAACACTACTATGTAGTGCTGCACCCTTTAACTTTTAACAATTCTAAGATGTCACTCCCAATTACTCAACTAAGACCTTGTGTAATGTCTGACCAACTCTTTTATTTTTCACGTGACCTGAGTGTGCAGGATAGAGGTTCTCCTCTCTTTAACATTTTGTGGACATTTCAACGTAAGTCAGTTGATAATAGTAGAATTTTGAGAAAGTAACCTTTGCATTTTTGTCTTGTGACAACATGAACAGAAATGAGTAGGCCACCACTCCTAGCTACTACTCTTGTGGTGACTTAAACACTGCCCCTAGTTGTGTCATAGACTGAGTTTATCTTTAATTCATTGTTTTATCCTGTTCGCTGTAGAGTCAGCTACTGTTCTGTCAGACCTGGGAAACGTGTTCTTCACAGTCCACTTCGCATCTTACTTACAAGGAAAACAGTTTTTTGTTTGTTTGTTTTTATTTTTATATATAACTGTTCTTGCAATATCCCTACCAGGTCGCACTAAGTGTTTTGTACATTTCAAACTCCCAATTTCTGTTTGTAAATATGTTTGTTCTGGGTAGATCATTGCTTGAGAAGTCTTATGTTTCTAAAATGATTGTTGTGTACTAAAAAGGACAAAAATAAAATGTACTTCATTTAGCATTATTTGAAGCCGAGGCTGTGACTGATATTTCATTGGGCTTTTGTTATTAGAACAGTCATAGATATTTTCTATCATTATTAATTTCAATACTTGTTTAAAAGTAGTTCAAAATCATTGTACATAAAACCTTTCTACAGTTTTTTCTTTCTACAGTAAAAAGTTGTAAAATAAGTTACTTATAATAAAAACTGTAGGGAACTACATTTTGGTGTCCTCGTGTTCAGTCAGTGTTTTATGTTTTACGGTATTAAACAAGAAAGAGAGGGCAAAAATGTGCTATGTTTACACACCTCTCATTTTGAGTAATACTATTCTTAGCTTAGTAGGTGTTGGTTACCACACAATCCCAGGGAAACCAACCAGGCTTTAATGCCCACGTGCATCTGCAACAGACTTATCTCCTCGTGATTTTCCTAAAGTTTAGCTCGCTCTCTAAATATGTTACGCAAGTGATTCAATCCAGATTCAGACTATCTTGATGCCAATTTTACTCCATTTACTCCAAATTTACTACCAACTGCCAGTTGTGCAACTCTATTACAACAGGAAGGGTGGTTTTTGTATGACTGATGCAATATATTTTTTTAATCAAAATCCCATTATAGGACATTTTTGAGGTTTTAACAGGAGGTTTTATGTTCTGATTACAGGATTTCATTGTTCTCCTCCTTCTGATCGTCGTGAAATACATAGTAAAGTAAGTACACCTAAATTTGCAATTCAGAAAAGTTGAACAACTTATTCCAACAGATTGTGAAATATAGCTTCAGTGTTTGTAGCATAAGTGTAATTTGGGGGCGCAAGGTCTGGTACCATATTACTACTTTACATACATAAGATTCCTAAGACTATGCAACAGGTTTTCTAGCTTCCTTTTTCTTTTTTTTGATTTGCTGACTGAATAGGATGGTCAGAGGTTTATTTACATTTGACTACAAGCAGAACTCTTATTCTTCAAACAGAGCTGCATAGGAGGATGGTGCTATTAAGAATGCTACAGCGTTAACACAAACTGTTCCTAACTACAGGGCAGCTCAAGCCATGGTGCTGACGATCAGCTGGGTGTCTCAGAAAGGACATCAACATTTGTTAAAAGCCTTTGGAATGAAGATAATAGTAAAACCATAATGTCACACATGAAATAATGACTTTTTTTTATTACTACATTAAACATTTATTTTACAATAATGTGCATTACTTATTCATTTGTTTGTTTGAAAAGATAAATCAGATACAGTATGGTACTATTAATCTTTACTAGTTTTGTAATAAGATTCTGCTAGTTTATTTCCTTAATTTAACCAGGTGGGCTAATTGAGAACAAATTCTCATTTACAGTAATGACCTGGTCAAGAGGCTGCACAGATATAATTAAAAAATAATTTAATTTCCTTTTAATTGTCTTATTCTTGTTCTCTATAAAACAAAAAAAATGTAATCTTATTGCCAACAGAAATTTAAAAAAGAAATGACTCCAAAACAAAGAAAGTCTATAAATATTATGTGTATATTTACAGTTATTTTTGGATTATTAATTTAGAGTTAATATTGTGTGGGTAAAATTATCAGTGCTGTGTACACTGCATCTCAGAGGGAAACGTCTGTCCTCATACAGCTGCACGTTGTACTTATTAAAACAGTAACCAGAGGTTGCAGCAACACCATCTCCTTGAGAATAACATTTCTAATCTGTGCAACAGTCAGATCATCATTTCTTGCCTGTTTTCTTCTGCAGCATGCGCAGAACCCCAAGAGTAGCATTGAGCACATTGTCATGCTTAAAGATCATCTTGTAGAAAGCGTCCAGAGGCAGTCGGCCGGTCGGATCTGCGTGCTTCAGTGCAGTCACGGGCGTGTACAGGCGGTTGGTCTGGTGGCGCAGAGGAGGATCCTTGGCTGTGATCACTTTAAGTGTTTGCTAAATTTAAAAAAAAGAAATAGATTTTAATACTACAGGGGCACCTTCTCATTATGCATCTTCACTGGAACAACTAATTATGGTGACCTTTCAACCTGAAATATAATCGTCACCACTTGCCTCTGCCACTTCCTCTGGTGTCTGTCCTAATGAGGCGAAGACCTTTTTAGAGTATGGAAGGTAAACTTCACGGAAGATCTTGGCAGTCTCTTCATCTGTCTCTGATAGATCCATCTTCTCAGCTTCTTCATACACTTTGCTTTCAAACTCTGTGACCACAGGACCAGGTTCCACCAGAGTTGTCCTTGTGACAGAGACAGAAGAACATAAATCCAGGACCAGTGTTCCACTACAATCCTCAAGCCTTACCGATGTGGGCTTACTGATAACTAAAATTTTAGATGTGAGCTGGGTGCATTTTTAGAGCTGATGTGTTTATCGGGAGATGTAATCACTTGATGTGAAACTTCAACGCTTGCACTGCCAGGCTTTCACAAAATCCTTCCACAGCAAATTTGGAGGCAGAGTAGACATCGTTGAACAGCAGTCCTGTGTGGAAATATTAGGAAACGTATTAGCGACCTCTTCATCGCACTGCTTCGGAAATTCCACTGACACAAACAAACGCACCCTGTATTCCCATGACACTGCTCATCACCACAATATGGCCGCTCTGCCGCTGCTTCATGTCTGGCAGCACCTCTTTCACCAGCCGCACCAGGCCAAAGAAGTTTGTGTCAAAGAGCTCCTTCATGGCAGCAATGCTTTGGCACTCCAGCGGCCCAATCATGCCAACGCCAGCATTGCTCACTGTAATAACAGAACATCCGGTTATAACACTGTGTACTTGTGGAGAAATCTTAGAGCATGTCTATGAGGAGCAGAGGAGACAGACCTAGAACATCCACCCGTCTGTTTGGAAGGCTGTTGACGCACTCTTTGATGGAAGCTTCACAACAAGCGTCCAACTCTTTGATTTCCAGGGTTTTGTTTAAACAGTCACCTGCTGCTTCCTCCAATGGCCCCCGTTTCTGAAGATCCCTCATTGTGGCAACCACTGCCTCAGACACACAATGAAACACACCGGCTGTCATGGTTATCATCTACTGTGTGTCATTTATTTATGTTTTAGCTGAGAGAGAATGACTGACCTTTAAACCGTCTCAGCTCGTCTTTGGCCAGCCGTGAGGCCACAGCCAAGCCGATGCCAGAGGAGCACCCAGTCACCAGCACCCTCCTGGTCCCCATGCTCTTTGCCTTCTGACCTCAAGGCTTGGGGGACTCGTGACTACTCAGTCAAGAAATTCTGTGAACAGAGAAATCAACTTAAAGGAATATTCCTTTCAACATATTATGTTTGTATTTTAATAACAACCAAGCTGTTTGTGAGTGTGTTCTGGGTGGCTTTTTGCTTAGCCTGTTTACATACATTCTGCTCAGTTACTGATTTCTCCCCATCTGTTGAATGTAATGCCTGAGGTGAAACACTGATTTCAAACAGGAATTAAGGCCTTGCAGTTATACGCCTTTGCCAGCTAGTGAAGTTGCAGTTTACGTCTCTGCCTACACAGCTTGTAGTAAAGACTATGAATGAATCTTCTGTTTTTGAGTAGTGGCCTGAAAAAGTGTTTTTTTGAAGTCATGGAGAACCTTGGCTTCACCATTTTCTCCTTGTACAGACTTGTGTGAGATATTTATCATATTAGGCGTATGAATTTTATAGTTATGGCCAAAAATGTGTTTTGTGAGGTCACAGTGACCTCATCCTGTCCCAGTAAACATTTCCATTCATGAGAACGGGACAGACGGCCACCCTGAACACTTAATGCCTCCGTTCATGGCTGTTGTCAACACGCAGACATAAAAAAGCACAACAGCAAGGGTTCTGGACTTTCCAGTAAACTGAGAACAACTGGTTTTCATGCTCAGAATACACGCAATCTTGCAGCTGTATTGCATTATAATTTGATATGATTAATAGAAATTCTTTAACATCTTTAATTTTCCCATCATGATGACTGAATGTTCCTCCAAAACAGGAAAATTTTTTTCATCCACTATCTAGTGCAATGGTCCAACAACAACATTAGCTTTATTTTATTGACGTGAGAGCGTTATGCATTGAGTTTTAAGCCATTATTTCAACTCCACATCTTTGTTTCTGTGAGGCATTTTAAAGGAAATTTCTTGTTCTAAGATTATATTCTCTCTAATCTGATATAAGTGCGCTGGAATGCGTAGCTGTTGAAAACAGCCCATTGCCCCTTTATTAGGACTTTAACCAACAGGTATGTTTGTAATGAGAAAATATCTCAAGTGTCTTATTACAAATGTACCTGTTGGTTCACCTGGCATGTCGTTTTTGTCAAAAAAGGTCACGTTCCAGAATGTCCTGAAAACGCATCAGGATGTAGTATATAGTGGCAAAAGTGTCCTGAATGTGTTTAAA